GATGTTCATCCCCACAGTTAGCACAGGTAGGTGCACTATTCATGTCTTTGGGATACTCTTTTGTGAGATGACCGTCTGCGCATTTCAAACATTTGGGTTTAACATGGCAATTTGAAGTTGTATGCCCCTAGCGATGGCACTGTATTATCTTCTTATTTGTATATCTTTTTCTTTTCTGAGACAGATATCTAACATTTTGATTTAGTGCTTTAATATTGTTGTTTCCCATGCAGATAATCATGTACAAAGGCTTAGAAGTGCCCCTCATTACGTTACGTCGAGCTTCTTTTTGTAACTAGTTTTCTCCAAATGGTTTAATACTGTTTAGTGATGGATGTTTAAGTCCTTGGCGATGTCGTGACTGCTTACATGCCGGTTTTCTAGTCTATAAAATATGTGTGAATTGATCAAGTAAATTTTCATGCCCCCCCCCCCCCAAAGCTTACGCCACTATTTTAATGATTTTCGCAGAAAACAATATGTCGAAGCATATTGATCCGTTCGATCAACGCCACCCATATATTTTATATAATTCATTATAATATTGAGTTTCTTGATGTTGGTTTCCACACCACCTCGTACAATCCTTTTGACAGTATTCGTTCCTGTGTTATCCCTAGTGGTCAAACAAGTGACGGTCTTTTTATCCTTCCACGCTAAAAGTAGTGTTACTTCTTCGGTAAGCTACCGTGGATTTTTTTAAAAATTTTGTTTTTTTTTCTCGCTGGGCAATTTCTGTTCGTTAGGATCGCCCTGGTAAAATGGCATTTCAGTTTGGCTGGTTCTTAGTACAGTAACGGTCCGTGAACATATGGTGCCCCTGAGCATCAGGAATTTTGTCTAACATTTTATGGAGATGAATCGGAATTCTCGTGGAAACAGGTAGATCAGGTCTCACCAACAGTCCGCGAAATAGACGTCGCTACATTACCCCCTTTCAAGTCACTCGACATGTTAGGGAGAGTAGACGGTACTTGTAATCGCGAGTAAGTTCGTGGATCATTATTTTCTGTATCTTCTATAAATGCTGGTTTCAACCGTTCCGTCGATATAGTGGTTTCTTTTCCTTTATAATCAATTAGAAATACATTGTCCGAAATATGTTTAATTACACGGAATGGACCCTCATATGGCTGTTCCAAAGGATCTACCCTAACGAATACATGTGATGTATCAAATATTAAAAATGAAATATGACCGTCGAGAGTGATGTTTCGTTTTTGGTCTAATAGTTTGCATATACTGTCTAAAATTGTCTATTGTAAAGTCTTTGTGAGTTTCTGTATCCAAAAAGAATTCTCCAGGTAGTCTGAGGGATGTACCGTATACCATTTCAGCCGCGGTTGCTTTTAAATCCTCTTTATAACTATTTCTCAAACCAAGCATAACTGTTGGGAGTATTTCTAACCAATTTTTATTTTCATGACATCTAATTGCTGCTTTTAGAGATCTATGCCACCTTTCTATCATTCCATTGGATGATACGCTGTTGTGCGTATGTGTCTGCATCCAATTAATTTTGTCAGAGCGTTAAATAATTGTGATTCAAATTGTGTTCCACGATCTGTAGTAATTGTCGCTGGAGTTCCGAATCTTGCGATCCATGTGGCATAGAAACCTGTGGCAATCGTGTCCGCGTTAGTGTCTTTAATCGCAATCACCTCAGGCCATCTTGAAAATCTGTCAATCATTGTAAGTATTTAAAATTTTCTATCGTCGGTAGCGGTCTTATTATGTCTATATGAACATGTTGAAAACGTTCTGGAACAGCAATATGCTTAGGTAGATTTTTAATATGTCTACTTATTTTTCCTCTTACACAATTCTTTGCCCATTTTAGGAATGTCTTTATTCATCCCTGGCCATATAAATCTTTTTACTATCATCTTGCGTGTACATCGGCCGCTGGGATGTGAAAGGTTGTGCACGTTGTCAAAGATTTGCCTGCGCAACGCTCCTGGGACATATGGTCTAATAGTTTCTGTGGAAGTATCACAATATATTGAATCTTTGGAATCATTAATTTTTAATTTTTTTAGTTGTAGGACTGTGCTTTGTAAGACCTGTGATAGTTCTGGATCTTTTAATTGTTGTTCGGCAAGTTCCTCTGTACTTACCACGACTAGCATACTGATAACGTCCAGCCGTGATAAAGCATCTGCCACTTCGTTATTAGATCCCGGAATGTGGATTATATTTGTAGAAAATTATCCAATGTAATCTAATTGTCGTAGCTGTCTCGGTGAGGCTTTTTCTGATTTTTGTAAAAATGCGAATGTCAATGGTTTGTGGTCAGTTTGTATTGTAAAATCTCGTCCCTCTAAAAAATGTTTAAAATATTTTATGGCCTTAAATATAGTTGTAAGTTCATGGTCATACGTGCTATATTTAATTTCTTGGGGAGGAAATTTTTTCGAAAAAGAAACCTATTGGTTCCCACATTCCGTTGACCTTTTGTTGCAGCGCAGCCCCACATGCTACATTAGAAGCATCTGTTGAAAGGAGTAAAGATGTATTATTTTTTGGATGTGCCAAGAGCGTAGCGTTTGCTAACGAGTTTTTACATTCATTAAATGT